ACAGCAGCGGTAGAGGCGGGAGCGGCCTGGGAGGAAGGGAGGAGGTTATCCTTGACGGCGCGTCCGGGACCCGAAGATTTCCCTCGGTGGCTGAGTTTGTCCAAGTTGTTGTAATAGTATGCCGAACGACGCATAGGAGAGGTAGAGGGTTTCTTGCTGCTGCCTTTGCGGCTACCGTTTTTGTCATGATCGGAGCTCCCCGGGCTCCTCGCGCTCTGACAGGTCGAGCGGCGACTGCAGCTGGCGCTACCGTACCAGCGTGAAGGCGGGTTTGCGGACGGTGTTTGCGTCGCATCCCCCCGTCGTGAGGGCCATCGGGACGGACGAATGTACGCCAGACAAGGTTGGGAAGAAGAAAGGAGGAGGACCTGCAGACACAGGGCACAGGCGACGTGGAGACGGGAAGCCGGGCGATGGACATGGTTTGACCACTTTTGCAAAGATCCCCATCCTCGCACACGCCAGTCAATGCCACCGGTAGGGGGCAGAGACATGACCCTGAAGGGATTGAAGAGGGTGGGCGAGGAAGTTCGTGGAACAATTCGAGATGAGAAACGGAGGGAGTAGCGGAGAGGAAGTATCAAACGCAGGACGAGTGTGCCAGCAGCGCTGTACAACAGTGCACGAGCACGATGACCGCCGAAAGCGCTCATAGCCACTGCTTTACCATTGCACCCTTGCGGGCGCGACTGGGATGGTGGTGCTTCTTAATCCGCTCCGCCCAGCCCCATGTCGCTGACAATATAATTAATATATGGAAGACATGGCGAGTGGGGGGGGGATCGCCCGGTGTGCCAAGAAAACAAATACGTACAAACTTGAAGCACGCGGCCATAAAGATGGCATTGGAAGGTGTTGGTCAGCTTATTCACATGGCTTGCATTGCACGCTTATCCCAAGCGCGTATTTACGTTAACATGGTCGTGCTCCTCCACTCGCGCTGTCACTCTCTGTCTACCTCCCCCATCCCATCAAAGACTTGCTCGGGCACCTCCACGCCTGTTCCCCTTTTTCCATATTTCCCCTGCTGTTCCAACACGACTGCAGCAAGCAAGGTCTCGTTCAAACAGAATTTTCGGATTTCTGTCACACCATGACGTGGACTGTGTGCCCTCTGCCCCCTCTGGCGCTCCTCCCCTCGGATCGATCTTCTCTCTCGACCCCTCCCTTCCTCCATCCTCGTTTCCTCCACCACCCTCCGGTCATCCCTCATCTCCACCAATTTTCCATTGATTTTCACCCTCCGCGTTTCCATTGCTCTTCGACGCCGTCCGTGCAAGACACGGCTCAACTCCTTCATCAAAGCATCTTGCCCCTCAACTCTATCAGAGCACCCTCGACCTCCTCGGAAATCCTGCCCGATCCACTTCTGTGCGCCTGAGTCATGACTGCCATCCCCACCACTCAGCCGTGGATCGGTTTCCACCATGCCTTCGTACACTTCCCACGCCGCTTCCTCGATACTTTCCCCCGCTGCCTCCTCCCGTCCCCTCTCATCCCTCCCAGCCCCAAAACTCTCGAAGCTGACCATTTCTGTTTTGATGGGCTCGACTATCCTTACGGCTTCCTCCTCTCCTGCCTCTACGACGCCTCCTGCCTCTCTCAGACCAGCTCCGGACGCGCACTCTCCCTCGGCCGACCCCTCCCTCCCTCCCTCCCCACCCTCCAAGACCCTCCACGCATCCTTCACCATCTCCACCACGCCCATGCGCCCATCCTGACTCGTGGCATCCTCAGCGTCCTCCCTTTCCAACAACATGTCGTGCAACCGCTTCAGCGCCTTCTTCACTTCCTCCCTTCCGTCCTCCTCTGTCTGTCCTCGTGCCCCCTCCTCCATCAGGCGCACCGCGTCCACCAGGGCACATTGCTGATGGAAAGTGCGGACCAAACAAGTTTCGACAGCTGCCCGATCCAAGGAGAGCTGACGTCCGACCGAGCGCAGAAGATGCAGGATCGTACGTCGACTTTGCCCCGCCTCCGTGACTTCCCTTGAAGGGGGAGTGATGGGCTGGGAAGGAGGGCCAAGGGCGTCGTGACCAGTGGATGGAAGAAAGGGTGGGAAGGAAAATGCCCCATCCATTGCTTTGGCCTTCCCTTCCCCTTTCTCCTCCTCCATGGCCTCCCCTGCCTCCTCCGCCCCCCCCCGATCCGGCCTCAGCCCAAAGGCCTCCATCAGGCCCGCTCTTTCCTCCTCAAGCACTGCTATGCACTCCTCGAGCCGCACCAAGTCTTCTTCTACCTCCATCCTCCCCCTATTCCCATCCTTGCTGCCCGTCGACCCCTCCCTCCC